ACTCCAAGTATTTTGGAATTGAGCCTAAAAATGCTGAAAAACCATGGACACCGAACACTTTGTGTACATCGTGTCGAGTAGAATTGATTCAGTGGGAATCAGGACAACAAACAAAATTTGATACACCAATGATATGGAGAGAACCTACTTGCCATTCAATAGAGTGTTATATTTGTCAAACAAAAGTACTTGGCGTTGGAAGATCAAGAGGAGTAACCTATGCTAGCGTACCTACAGTGACATTACCAGTACTACATTCAACGGCAGTTGCGGATCCAGTTCCATTGTCAACAGTAACATCTGAGTGCGGGGGATCAAGTTGTACTGAATTTCGCATGGAAAACGAAAGAAACGTGCTGTCACAAGCACAACTTAATGATTGGATAAGACATTTGGAACTATCCAAGGAAAAGGCCGAGATCCACACTTCTCGTATGCAACAATTTAAATTTGTGTCATCCGATGTTAAGGTAGAACTCGTCATGAACCATTTTCCAAACACTATACCAAGAAAGACAGTATATGCTACTGCAACGACATCCCTGGTTTATTCAAAGAGTTTGGTCAAACATATGATTCAAAAGAGTGGCGATTGTTCATAGACGGCAATAAACTGAGCTTGAAGGCTGTATTACTACATATTGGTAACAAACAGCCTTCTATCCCGATTGCACATGCAGTAAATACAAAGGAAACCTACGAGGAAATGCAAAAAATACTCAAATTTATCAAATATGAAGAGCATGATTGGAAAATATGTTCTGATCTCAAAGTCGTTGCAATGCTATGCGGTCTACAAAGTGGCTACACCAAGCACTGCTGCTTCCTCTGCAAGTGGGATAGCCGAGCTCGTAAGGACCACTACGTCAGAAAGGATTGGCCGGAAAGAGTCGAGTTTACCGTTGGTGTTGATAACATCAAATACACCCCTCTTGTCAAGAAAGAGAAAATCATACTTCCACCCTTACACTCATTAAAAACTTTGTTAAGGCTTTGGACAAAGAAGGCGAAGCATTCGACTATTTGAAAACAATTTTTCCAGATATTTCTCAAGCCAAGATAAAGGAAGGTATTTTTGTTGGACCACAAATAAGAAAGTTGATCAACAATAATCAATTCAAAGGACTACTCTCATCAGTTGAGGCAGCAGCGTGGGAATCCTTTGAAAAGGTCGTTGCTTCTTTTCTCGGTAGACACAAAAGCCCTAACTACGAGCAGATAGTGAACGACCTAATCAATAACTATGCGAAAATGGGAGTAAATATGTCTTTAAAAATTCACTTTCTCAACTCACATTTGAGCTTTTTTCCAGCAAATCTTGGCGACGAAAGTGATGAACATGGCGAAAGGTTTCATCAGCAAATGAAATTAATTGAGAATCGATATCAAGGATTCTGGGACGTCGCAATGATGGGTGATTACTGCTGGTTTCTCATAAGAGAAACCGATCCTAAACTGAATAAGCGTCAAAGTAGAACACATAATTATTTCGACAACATAGTAAAATCAAATTAAGATAAAGATTGTTAGAATATAGTATAAACATAAATAAATTTAAAAAAAAAGTTAAAAATATGGGTAATTTCATTCATAAATTGGACTTTTAACTCAATAGAAACAGAGCATAGCTAGATATTTCACTCTTCTTTATACCATACATACGTTTTGAGGTATACGTTGAAATTGCGCAACCTGGGTATTTTTATTTGATCGCTTATAACTTACGTAGTTTTGCATCGATTTTCTTCGATGATAGCTTATTTTTTTTGTAATACAACAGAGCTTAGGGAGAAAAAAAAAATCTGCAAAAAAATAAAAGGTTTTCGAGATCCTTCCCCGCAAAGTACAATTTTTTTTGTAAAAATATAAAAAA